TTATCACACGTTGGAGGGAAAAATGTAAAAACAGCCGTAAAGAGAATCATGTCAAAATTATTTACAAATTGTTTTCTTGTGGAATATTCATTTACTGGCAAAAAAGGGAAAAAGAAATTTTCCGATTTGTTGATATTTCCAATTATTTTCAGTTAGTATAATAATATGTAAGGTATAAATAAATTTATATAACACTTGCAAGCAGCCCCCCCCCCACATATTAAATATTGAGCCCCTGTACTAAATGTTTGCACTTTTTTTCACAATTATTTAGACATAAAAATGTTTTTTATAATATTAGTTATTATAAATTAAGTATTCCTATTAAAATTTCAAAATGTTTTTTAATGATATAATATTAATGCTTAATTTTTTCAAGAAAATGTATTGGTGCTTGACCATTATATTGTGTTAATTATGTTGGTTAGGTTGTAATTATTATCATTAATCAATTTTGTGTAGCTGTTTTTTTTTTTTTTTATGAATAAATGAGATTAGATTAGTTAGCCACCAATTTATATTAAATTAAAATATTATTATTATTTAAATACTAAGTATTATATTATATTATACATAAAGATTCAATTCGGTCAAGGTTCAAACTTTTTTACTTCTAATAGTAATCTCAGTTGAGCATGATATTTTTGTAAACCAATAACAGCTTGTTATGTCGTTACGTTCAATAGTCTGTAGTATAAAAACATTTTTTTTTTAACTTAAATGAAAAATTGAAAATACAAATATCTATCCCCAAAATATTCAAAATGTGTTGTAAATAAATACATTTTATTACTTTTGTATCTTTTTAGAAGCCATAAAAAAACAAGTAAAATTCAAAAGTGCCAGTGATCATGAAATTGAAGAACCATTAAAAATATATTTGGCTCAAGCACCCTTCGCAGAAAAACGTTTAAAAATTAATAAAATATAATTAATCTATGTTTAATATAAAACACTTTTTTATTTAAAACTTAATAAAGTTTTGTTTTTATCAATTGTTTTTTTTATTTGGTTTAGTAGAGGTATGAAAGTGTGTGTGGATATTTTTGCTTTCTTACATTATTATTATTTAAATATATTTGCTTATTGAAAAATACCTATATCCTATATTGCTATTTTTACTAAGTGCATTTTGAGCAAGACAATTAAGCTGAACAATTGATCACTGAACCCCGTAATAGTTTGAAAACAAATGGTTAARTAATATTAATAAATCAAAATACAATATTATTAATATATGGCTACAGTATATTAAAAATAGTGTCAGGTAAATATAAGTCAATGTTGACTTAATATTTGTCAAACACATCTATTAAATATTGGTAAAAAAATCTTAACTAAATATTAGTTGTCAATGTTAATTAAATAAATAATTTTGGTTCATTCAATATTAATTGAATATTGTTTAATATTTAAAAATGTATCCTTAATCAATAGATAATGTTTAATCAACATTGATTTTTTTTAATGTTTATAAATAAATATTTGCCTAACACTATTTAAATGATAGTTTGTTACTTATGGGCGTATTACAAGTTGGGGTATTAAAAGATAAACGGCTTAAGAAATCCGGGCAGTCTATATCACCAACCAAAAGTTTATATAAAAAACATAAGTCAAGAACTGTACGTCGCTATTCCAACGTCTTAAGGTTTAATATGGTTAATAATGGATTATATGAAGTGTGTGGTTCTCTAGGAATGGATCATTTAATTGAGATGAAGCGTAAGAATTGTTTTTGTATTTTTTTCAGTTTATATTTATTGCCAGACTGATAGGGAGACCAAATTATTGAACCGTATTCACAAGTGGATCACACTAATGAACAGTAAATTGATTTTAATGCAAACTTATCTGTAAAGTCAGAACAATTACGATTAATAAAACCTAATAGTTGATGCGATTTTGTGAATATGGTTTTTTGTTAATATGGCAGTCAAATTTTAGTTTTGGATCAAATAATATACCAAAGTCCTTAATAGGACGTGTGGAACAAAGAAGAATTTCACTGTCTATTATAATAGTTATAGGTAATAATAGATCTAGCTCTAGAGAAAGTCATTATTTGACATTTTTTAATATTAAGAATAAGATAATTATTGGTGCACCTATTATAGAGGATATTTAAATCAGATTGAAGTARGTCAGCATCTTCCTGTGAATTTACTTAACGATACATTTTAAGATCATCCGCAAGCATTAGCTAAGAGCAGTTATGAAAATTAATATCATTAATAAAGATTCTGAATAATATTGGAGCTAAGTGGGAWCCTTGCGGAACTCCAGATGTGACAAGAATTGGGGTAGACATACAACATTTATAAGAAACAAATTGAATACGATCCTTAATAAAAGAAGTTAGCCAGTTTAGAAAAGATCCTCAAATACCAATTTGTTCTAATTTTGCAAATAAAATCTGGTAGTTAACTTTATCAAATGTCTTAGCAAAATCATTAAAAATAACGTCAACACTATCTACGGTTAAAAGGGCAACGGATACAAAATTTTGAAAGACAAGCAAGTTAGTAATTGCACTCTTATACGGCGGAAACCATGTTGGTCATCGACGATTACATTTGCTAGAATAGGCATGACTTTTGAGCTTACAATAGATTCAACAACTTTAGGCATAATAGAGGCTAGTGATATTGGTCGGTAATTGGAAATATTAGACAGGTCTGATGAGGATTTTGGAATTGGGCGAACAATGCTAATTTTCCAAGTGTCGGGAAAAATACCAGTAGATAGCGATAGGTTAAATAGATATAATAAGGGCGTAGACATTACATATGTACATTTTTTGAAAAATATGTTAGGTATTAAATCGGGCCCTGAGCTAGTATTGGAACTCAATGAGTTAAGTGAATCGAAAATGTCAAGTAGGTCAATTGAACATGAGTGCAKAGGAGAAAGGAGAACTTTTGGTTGGTTTTGCGGTGTATAGTTTATATTAAAATCATTGTTAATTTCATGTATGCTAGAAAAATATTTAGAGAAAGCATTAACAATATCATTTGGTGTATCAAATGTTTCATTGTATAAATACATGGTATTATGTAAAAAAATTTCTTTACGTTTATTATTAATAAATTTCCAAAATTTATTAGGATAGATTTTTAAATTTCTTTGTATATTATTGATGTATAGTTGATAATCAACTTTTGAATAGAATTTACATTTGGCACGAAGTAATCAAAAATTTATGTAGTCACTCACCAAACCTGAACTCCTATATAATTTATGAGCAATTTTTTTCTTAAATATTAAATCTTTTAATTTTTTTGTAAACCAAATCGGGTATTTTGACTGGCGTTTAATTATTTTTGGAACAAATATATCAATAATTTCGTATATAATACAATAAAAAATATTTACAGCTTCATTAATATTTAAATTTTCAAATAAGTTACACCAATTAATTGATGCTAAGGTAAAATTAATATCAAAGTAATTACAGTTATGGAAATTATAAGTACACAAATTATAATCGATAGGTTTATTAACAGTAATTGGAAAAGAGACAAGTAATGCCGGATGATAGCTATCACAAGGTACAATACATTGTCTTATGATAACCCTTGTTTTAAATTTTCAATCCTTAGCTTTAAAAATTTGACATTCAATACATTTTTAAACACAAAATAATATGAAAATGATCGTGATTTTGATTATAAATGTGTATAGGCAAATATTTTAAATTTAACTTCAATATTTTTTAACAACATTAAATTGAAAAAACATACAAATTACAGACTATTAAATAAAATAATCAAACACAATCAACAAGTTTTATAACTACAAGTTGTAATAATTAATATGTTGTATTAAATGTAATTAATTATTAGTTGTCAGTTTTATTACAATAATAGGTAAATATTAATAAAGAATATATTATTTGTACTTAGATGTACTTAAATGCATTTTTCAGAAGTCTTGCAGTTTCTACCAGCACAAAACTATTATTAACCTTAACATTTAATACCCTTGGTACCTACTATGTTGTTAACTGATAGTGATTTTATTGATGTCAGTAAATCTTCAGCTGCTGGTATGATTATAAAGGGAGTGAGTATGAGTGTATGACTTTAAGGCTTGTATACATATACTTTGTTTAAAAACACAATGGTTGGTTTTTATAAAATTTTCCAAGGGGACAACATTTCTTTTATGGCAGCGGTTTGTACCTGAAAAATTTATTCAGGTTTCTGGTGTTAGACCTTGTTTTAAATTTTCAATCCTTAGCTATTCAATTTAAACGTTTTATAAATTGTTAACGATTAAAGAATTTATAAATTTTCAATTAAATTTATTTTGTCAAAATTTAAACTTTAAATGGTTATAAAAAAACATGTCTATATATTTTTAATATTTTCCAACTGCTATGATATAAAACTAAGAGGAACCTAGCATGTATTACATTTTCAAGTTTTTTGACTCAATGAATACAATTTTATCGACATTTATAGAATAAAAAAACTAAAAAAAACGAGAAATTTCAAATGTCTATAAATAACTTAAAAAAATTTGAAATGTTTTAAAAATTTTATCACGTATAGGAATTGATAAAATAAATATATGGTGTAAGTTTTAAGTTTCTACAGTATTGAAATTGAGGAGATATCCAATTTGTAATTATTCAAATGCTCATAAAATTAAATTAGACTTTTYAGTAGATATTTAAGTAGACAAACTCATGAAGAATCTTGTATTGAATTTTCAAATCTATGATTTAAAAAGATAAATTTTTATGAATTTTTTCAAAATTCGAATTTTCAATGCTTATTAAAAAAATTGAGTCTATGTATTTATAATATTTTTAACTACCCTTGTGACAATATATAAGAGTCTTATATTCAATTTTGAAGTTTATTTACCCAACAAATAAAATTTTATTGTAATTTATAAAAAAAAAATACAAAAAAGATTAAAAATTAAAAATTTCTTAATGTCTATGAATATCTTTAAAAAAATTGAAATATTTTTGGAAATTTTATCAAGTATAGAAAATGCTAGTATAAACATTCAGTGAAAATTTCAAGCGTCTTCTACGGTCATTTGTTTTAGAATTACACCAATATCTATAATTCAGGTAAAAAGTTAACCAAAATGTTTTTCAGGTTTTGATTAACTCGGGTGTTTTGAAAGCAGTATCATTCAGRATATTTGGGCACTTAAGAGGATGTAACTTCCGTATGTGTTGTCTCAGTCTTAGACACGTACTAGGTACATACAAAATCTTCATTCACTAATTTCAATCATGGCTAAATAGCATGGTATGTTGTCAATTTGATCTGCGCAATCCGACTACGTCACGCATTCAAGATATTTCATAAATAACACTTGTAATGTAAGCCGTAAACTGCAGCTCCCACAGCATTCAGTGTCGAACAGTTGTATGTTTTATTGTAAATTGATGGAAAACAAAGAAGATTTGAAGCCAATGCATACCTCCTCAACATTGATGCTAAAATCTCAATGAAATGCAAATAAATTTAACCATAAATATTATCTATATAACTAACATAAGTACCTACCAACTTACATAATTGCCACTGAATAATTCATAAAAAGCACGAAATTGATGTTACACGGATTAGTTGTGCCAACCATTAGGGACTCAAGCAATATTGATCCATTTTAATGTATACAATTTATCCTGAAATTAAAAAAAGAAAAACAATAAGAAATGTTAAGTTAATATTCAAATATTTTTAAAATGAGATTTTCATGAATGTTAAAAATTTTTTGATTAATCTAATCACTTAAACAGTGCCTATACAATACACATTTAACCAGAGAACGGAATTTCCAGTAATGTTGAAGTTGGTTTCACAACATATAAATACTCTATCAATCGAGATTAAGGATTGTATCTAAAATCTGTTTGACAGTAGTTACAAATTTATTCAGAAACAATATTGCACGTTAAAATATCTATAGGGTTCAAAAAAAAAAATTTACAATACCCGCAAACCAATTTTGTTTATACTAATTTATTTTTTTTCGTACAATTAGCGTGCACTAATAAGGATGGATTTTAAGTTGGTTACAAAATAAATATTTTTTTTATAAATTAATATAGAAATAATAGCTTAGAATTAATATAACGTTGGAACAGAGTAAAATGCTTATAAATAATTGAACAAGTAAATTATAATGTAAGAAATTTAAGATTGTAGTTTTTTGTAGACAATTCACAACATTAAAGTATATTCAAATATTCTATTATTAAATGRATTGGTATATAATTATTTTGATCTGTCATTTCATTTATTTTTACAATTTTTCATAATTTTATTATAAGTTTGAAATGATTTATTATAACAATGATTATATTTTATGAATTGAAATAGTATTCAAGTTACAGTACAGAGTTACAACTATTTTTGAGACAGTGTACTTTTTATACGATTATAATTTTAATTTGCCAATAATTAATATGTTGCAATTGTGGTACCTACCTAGTTAGACTAAGCATACTTCTGTGTTAGTAAACTTTTATATGTATTCATCTGGTTTGAGTTKAGTAGATATCATTTGAACGGTACCTCAACTGTCTTGGCCTATGTTTTTTGTAGGTATTTGACAACATTAATGTAGGCACATGTAAAATATTTGTATTTGGAAATTTCAAATAATATTTTAATAAAATACAGTTAAAAAAATAAATAGTTTTCGAGCAGCTCAGCTTACTGTGGATTATAAGCTTACGAGACATTATCATTTATCACTGATATGGTCAGGTTATCATCTTCAGATAGTTGTCATTTTTTTAGCCACGAAAAATAAACCGTAGAATGAGTAAAGAAATGATAATAAAATTAGTTACTCCCACCTTGCATCTTGGTGTGTTTATGTCCAGCTCCAGTCTCCAGTATTCTTGTTGAAGGGTTTGTTTTTTGTCGCGTTTCTATGCATGTAATTTATAAGTAGCAGTTGTTGTTAATTTTTAATTTTGTATTTTTTCATCGGTCAGGGGTTGTGCTCCCACCGTTCATATCCATTTGCCATACATTTCCAACCAACTGCCATGTCTACCCTCTTGGTGATCGATTCAGCTATGGCTGGTCTGGTGATCGGTCGCGGGGGCGCTATGATCAAGAGCATCCAACAGGATAGTGGTGCGATGGTAAAACTAACCAACGGTGACACAGCAGATACACGAAATGTTAAGATAATTGGCAGTGAAGACGCGCAGCGTTTGGCCAGTRACATGATCGAAAAGATCGTAGGTAAACTGTTACGATCCGAAACGATTTCCACTCCACCGCCACCTCCCAGGCGAAAAACACGTGGTGGCGGTGCGGGGAGACCACGATTGATGAAGCGTTCGGTGTCACCGGAAGAGACGATCAATTTCAGTGATGATGTTTGGGAGGAAGTCCTTCGGGAGAACAGGGAAAGGGAGCTCAAGTTGTTAGAGTCGTTGCCGCCAATTATCAAGGATATCTATGAGGAACATAGTCAAGTAAAGGCCATGTCCGATGAGGATGTCCAATCATTCAGAACTGCYCAAAACAATATTACCGTTCAGTATGTGGATGGAGCTGAATGTATCCGAACGATACCGAAGCCAGTAAAAACATTTGAGCATGCTTTTAGCCCATATCCTGAAATCATGGAGGTGATTAAAAAGCAGAAATTTACCACACCCTCACCTATACAGTGTCAAGCATGGCCGATAATTATGAGTGGACATGACTTAATAGCTATTGCTCAAACAGGTACGGGCAAGACATTAGCATACATACTGCCAGCTTTAATTCATTTGCTTCAACAGCCTACTCCACGCAATAAACGGATTGGACCATCTGTGCTTATATTAGGACCAACGAGAGAGCTTGTGTTACAAATTCACGATGAAATAACAAAATATTTGTACAACAATATCAAAGTTGTATGTGTATATGGTGGTGGTGTATCAGCACAAACTCATCATCAACTTATACAAGCTGAGAAACCAGATATTATTGTGGCTACTCCAGGAAGACTTAATGATTTGGTTGGTATACAAGCCGTTAAACTTGAACACGTGTCTTATATAGTCCTCGATGAAGCTGACCGTATGTTAGACATGGGTTTCAAGAATCAAATAGAATTGTCTCTAAGACATATACGCCCGGATAAGCAAACGATTTTGACTAGCGCCACATGGCCAACAGCTGTCAAAAATTTGGCCAATTACTTTGCAAAAAATCCTCTACATATTACAGTTGGTTCTCTTGATTTATCTACTGTAGACACCGTTACTCAAAAAATTATAATACTTAAAGAACATCAAAAAGAAGGTTGGTTGGATGACTTCATTACCAATAACCTCTCCAAGAATGAAAAAGTCATAATATTTATGCGCAAAAAAACATCGGTCGATAAAATGTATGAAAATTTCATTCGTAATAATATTAGATGCAGGTAAATATAATCTGAACAAAACTTAAAATCTTCTTATAAATTAAATTTTAAACTCGCCTTTGATTTTTAGATGTATACATGGCGGAAGAGTACAAGCCGACCGAGAAGCATCACTAGCCGATATACGTAATGGTGTTGTATCCATACTTATTGCTACAGATGTGGCATCTAGAGGAATAGATATTCATGATATCAGTTTAGTTATTAACTATGATTTTCCATTGAATATTGAAGAGTATGTTCATAGAGTTGGTAGGACTGGCAGGGCAGGAAAAAAAGGTTCAGCTATTACTTTGTTTTCTAAACATGATAAATTCAATGCTTCTCCCCTTATTAGTGTCTTAGAAAAATCTAAACAACCTATTCCACCAGAATTATATGAAATGACTACTCACTAAATATTAATTTTATGTTGAAATTATTATGTATAATTATTATTTTATGTTTCAATAATGAAATATATTTATTTTATTATTCAAATTATATATTATTTACTGCTTAATGCTTATATTAACCACTTTTATAATTAGTATTATAATAGTTTATTATTAGTGTTATGTATGTATATATATAATATATTTGATAGTTTGATCATTAAAGTAGTTTTGTGTTATTTTAACAAACTATTATCACACCAAATATTTGTTTTGTCAGTTTCACTGAAATTAAATAATTTTTATTTTGAAATTTTAGGTTACATTTTTATAACAAGAAAAAAAWTAATTAAATTTATTTAATAATGATCTACATTTTTAATATTAAACAGCTCATGATATTACTCTTTTTCTTTTATTTTGGGATTGCCTGTTGCGTTCCATAATTTAATGAGGAGGGATTTTTGTATCTCGATGTGGTTATTGAAATTATTTGTAGACAGTTGAGTTCATTATTTATAATTAACAGAATAGTAACCTATATACAAATGAACTGGATTGCAAATGATCCCATATTTTGTTTGGATGATGAATAATATAAATTGTTTGTGAACAAAAAGACACGTTTCCTTTATTTCTTATCAAACTTTTAATAAACAAGAATTGATGGAAGATTTCCTATAACTACTCAAAAAACTTTATTATATTCCAAAAATGATGTTCTAGATTGTTAACTTTTAAAAATATAATTTTCTGAGGAAACTATAAAGATTCAAGAGCATTGGATTGAAGTCTAAGATGTGTAAAAATTGGTCTGTAGTTAAAACTATCCGGACCAATAATATTAAATAATTGCTTTGCTCAATTCAGAAAAGTTAGGTGGTGATGGCAAATCCTATTCTGTCTGTGTCTCTAATTATGATTATCTGATTGTTATTGTTTGCATTTATGTAGTGGGGCTCAGATCCAGTGAGGATATTAAAAATTATTTCAAATTTTTTATAGTAGTTGTGGTATTTTGGGAGATTCCGGTCTGTAAGGTAAAAATTGATTGTTTCTCTGATAGCAAGTATTGCTTATTATTATTTTTTTTTTTTTTTATACACAGTGTTAACGGGAGAACAGCAGTTGTCCGAAAAATGATAACAGCTCTGACCGAAAAATGGTGGCGTYGAATCTATTGCCAACATCGAAACTTTAAAAAAATTTGTTAAAATAATTATTGTTTCTTTTAGTGGTATCACTAGTTTGAAACTTTAAAATAGAAGAATTAATATACTATTATGCTATTTATATTAATATGGTTACACGATTTTCATTCACTAATCACTTATGTCTTATTTATAGCATGACAAAATGGATCTATTTTGTCATGATTTATAGTTAATTTATCTGAATTATTAA